ATTCATACTTTTGAGTCCTAAACGCCCTGAGGTTACATTGATTCTGTAACCTCAGATGCATTCATACAATCAGGCAAAAGTATTTCTCCTATCAGTGTTATTTTTTCCCATAGATTCCTGGGGATTTGTGCACATTAATACATCACTTCAGCCCTAACCGGTTTGGCTCCATCCTCAGTGGATGGAGCGTCGGCCTGCGGACTCAGGGGTCTCGGGTTCGATTCCGGTCGGGGGCGTGTGCCTTGGTTGCGGGCACATCCCCAGTGGGGGGTGTGCGTGAGGCAGCTGATCGATGTTTCTCTCTCATCGATGTTTCTGGCTCTCTGTCCCTCTCCTTTCCTCTCTGTAAAAAATCAATAAAATATATTTAAAAAAAAAATACATCACTTCATATGTAGTCTCTTCGTTCCTGGTTTGTATTGAGCTGTCAGGGCATCCATCCAGATGGGGCCCCTGAGCAATCCTTATTGACCAACCTGGCTGATAGTCCAGAGCCTACTTGCAGGTTCTACTCCATGTGTGAATAGACACCCCTTCTCAACATGATCACCTCATCAAAGCCTGTGGCTGAGTTCCACGTTACTGCCTCATATAGAGACGTGTGGTAAGGATGTTAATTTCCTTATGTGAACATAAAAGGAAACAGGAAACCTAGCTTTCAAGTTTTTAGTGGCATCATTTAAACCCAAAATAATTTTAAACTTGAAATAAACAACCTAATATTCATTATTCTATTTCCTGTGGAAATTCTGGAGATTGTGCTGGTGGAGTTTGCATCAACCTGGTCACATCTGTATGTTCCACAGACATTTCTAAAAGCTTATTTCCAATACAGGGCCTCAGGGTTTTCTCAAATAATAGGAGTTTTGAAAAATTTAAAGTATTTTTATCCTAATATTTTAATAAGATTTTATTATCTTTGTGTTAACTAAAAAAATTTTTTTATTCATTGCAGAGAGGAATGGAGAGGGAGAGATGGAAACATCAGTGGTGAGAGAGAATCATGGATCCCCTGCCTCCTGTATACCCCACACTGGGATGGAGCCCTCAACCAGGGCACGTGCCCTGAGCAGGAATGAAACCCCAACTTTTGGTTCATAGTCCTATCCTCAACCACTGACCCACACTGTCTGGGCAGGTTTTATTACTTTAAATAAATTCTTATGCTGAGATAGATTGAAAGTTTGGAAGATACATTGCTTTTGGACAACAACAACAACAGAAAAAACAAGCTCCCATGACTCGGCTTACTCCCAGTCGTGTCTACTCACTATGCAGAGAATGTCCTGCTGTTTGTCTATAGATGGAATCTTTTTTTTTAATAAATATATTTAATTGATTTTTTACAGAGAGGAAGGGAGAGGGATAGAGAGTTAGAAACATCGATGAGAGAGAAGCATCGATCAGCTGCCTCCTGCACACCCCCTACTGGGGATGTGCCTGCAACCAAGGTACATGCCCTGCCAGCTGGAGGCACCTGTGTGTAGGAGCCTAAGTGAAAGCAGCAGAGAAGGGCTCAGCCACCCCGGAGATATGTGCAATGATGAATTTTGCTTGTTTTAAGCCACTAAACGTTGACTGTTTTATGCCACAACAAAGACTAGTTGTAAGAGAAAAGAGTTCCTGAGATTGACATGCTCAGTAATAAAAACCTAATGCATGTGACATGGCCTTGGGACTGGCTAGTGGATAGAGGCTGAAGGGAGACTGTTAGTGGACCCTGCAAGCGAAGGAACTAGATGGAAGTCTGGAAGGACAGGAAATGTTTTGTTTTGGGAAATCATGTTTTATCTAGTGAAAAAATTGACAAACCTTTTGCCAATAGCACATGAAGCAGAACAACCACCTGGACAACCCGTAGACGCATAAGAAATATTGAAGTATTGTTGCATTAAGAGAATCCCTTTTGGGGTGGTTTTGGGGCTGCCCCCTCGCTCCTGCCCCGCCCTCCCTCCCTCTGTCCCTGCACAGGCCT